GAGCTCTACATCCGCCGCGTGACGAGGCGCCTGCGTTGTAGAGCGATGTAGAGCGCGATTTTGTTGTAGAGTTTGTTGTAGAGGCTCTACAGCCAAACCGCCGGGAAGGCAGTGACTCAAAGAGGTCGAGCCGCGCTAATGGGGTGTCTCCGAGCTTAGTGAAGCTCTGATGGACAGCCCTGACTATCCCTGACACACAGAGAGTCCCTCTGACGGCACACAACACCCTATAACTGCGTCATGACCAGCCTGCCATGTGTCGCCGGTGCCGCATTCGTCGCTGTGCTTCTTTAGCAGGCGGTGGACTGTCGGCTGCGAGGACGGTCGCATTTGCGCGAGGCGAGGCGAGCATTCAGACGCGTTGCATGCGCCATGACTCGCGCCAGCGCGTGCGGGAGCTCCTGGCTGAGCGTTGAGTCCAGGCGAGTTGCGCTGGCCACTATCGCTACGCCGAGCCGAGCTGACGCGCCGAGGCGCCGGCCAGTCGCAGCCGTGAGGCATGCCATAGCAGCGGAGGCACCTGCCACCCATTGGGCGGGCAGACAGAAGGCCAGGGCAGCACTGGCAAGTGCAACGCGCCTCATGTCGGAGAGCGAGCGTGCCTCGTTCGCCGCTTATGATGTAGAGTTTGTTGTAGAGATTTCACGTTGTAGAGCGCCTCTACATCGCTCTACAACGCAGGCGCCTCGTCACGCGGCGGATGTAGAGCTCTACAGCTCTACAGCGCTCTCCAGCACTCTACATCTCTACAGCTCTACAGCGCTCTACACTCTACATCCTCTACACCCTCCCTCAGAGCGAAGGAGGAGCACGAGCACGTATGGGAGGGTTCAAATGATGCGCCACGCTGCCCGGCGTTTCTCACTTTCCGGGACAGCCCCGCCCTTTTGAGGCAGGAAAGTGACGGCTACCCCGTACGCGCCTGCCGCTCTACCCCGACGCCGACCGCCCATCCCCCCTCCTCGTTCCCCCCTGGGCGAGCCGATGATCGTCGAGCCTCTGCCCTGCGTGCCCCCCCCCCCCCCCGCCGGGGTGTTGTGGGTCCGCCGTCGGGCCGTCTGTGGCCTGTTCCTCTCCCGCCGGCGCCTGTTGGTCCCTCTGCTCTCTGGGCCGCCTTGCTTCTCGCTCCCCCGTGCTCCGCCGCGGGCGGGTGGGCTGTGGCTCTT